TCAATAAAATATATTTTTAAAAAAATATTTGCAAATTGAACTGAAGTTCAGAAAATAAACTATAAGTCTATGAGACTAGGTTCCAAATTTCATCAATATTTTCAGATACAACAGAACTGCTCTTTATCCAACATAATCATGATTAATAGTTGATTATTTTTAAAGACCTGTTAAAGGAAGGAAACATACATACTCCTAAACACAAACTTAAAACATATATAGTAAGTGTACAGTAAGTTTCTAACTTAATTACATAAGCCAAGATGTAGTCTTTAATTGAAATATCTTGTACAAACCATACCTGTCGTCTATATTGTTCAGTTTCTGTTTTTCTAAAAGTGGACCAAGAACTTGAGAAGCAGAATCCTTATGGAGTTTTGCAATTTTTTCCCAACCTTATATAAACTACTTAATTAAATTACCATAGCATGTACCACGGGCATAAGGTTTGAATGCCAATGCATCCAACTCTAAATGTATAACTGAACTGGTGAGAGAAGTACAGAGGTGTATTTGAGGACATCTTCAGAATTCAGCCTTTATTCATTATGGTTTGGGCATCAGTCAGTACATTTTATGGAAGAACTGGGAAATGTCAGTTACTCCAATGAATCAAGTGCATGAAAGTTGCTGAATAAGAGAACTTCAACATACTACAAATGAAGGTAGTCCTTCATAAAGATACACATAATAAAATCATTTTCAAATTAAATGCTCTGAGCCACAGATTCCTTCTCTGGTAAAGAAAGGATTGCGTATTATGTAGTCCTAATATCCAGATTTGCTCTTGCCTGCCAATCCTCACTCCCACTTGTGGACATGAACCTCATTTTACCTATGAGCCCCAGGTTGTTCATATTTTCACACTAATTCATCTCATGGCAAAATATATATATTTTAAACTATGACTCAACCAGAATCTTGTTCCAGAATCAAGATCTCTTCTTCCCCACCTTATTTATCCATCAGTTTCTTTTAGTTATCCTGCCTGCCTGGTTGGAATTGTAACCATATATTCAACTTGCTCTGTGACGTCTATGGTATCCTTTCTCTTTATTACCTGACCAGACTTTTTGTCCTAGACTTAATATTTTTGTGTATAGCCAGATTTCTACATATTTGTATACTTACCCAGTTCTTAAAGATTTCTCTTAGGTTTATCATCTAAGTCTTATCTTAACTTTTCTACTTTGCCTTGGCTTTCCAAATTCCATCATCTTTTCAGCTAAAATCCATAGATATTCATAGTTGCTAAGATAACATTCAAAGCACAGTGAACAATTACAATGAAAAAGCAATGGTTCCAAAGCACTAAGATAGCCCAGAAAAAGCCTAAATTATGTTCTATACATACTATTTGCTAAGACTAACAAATGAACTTAGGTATTTCAGAAAAGTTTCAGAAACAGTGGAAATGAAAGATTTTCTGGGTTTTTCTCAGTTAGTAAAAGAAATTAAAGGAATTAGAATACTCCAACCCTCAGGAATTTAAATTTTCTAAAAATTTACCATATATAAGCCTTAAGAATAATTAATTTTATTATCATCATATTTTAAATAAGAAATGAAGTTGCCCTAACTGGTTTGGCTCAGTGGATAGAGCGTCGGCCTGCGAACTGAAAGGTCCCAGGTTCGATTACGGACAAGGGCATGTACCTTGGTTGCGGGCACATCCCCAGTAGAAGGTGTGCAGGAGGTAGCCGGTTGATGTTTCTCTCTCATTAATGTTTCTAACTCTCTATCCCTCTCCCTCCTTCTCTGTAAAAAATATTAATAAAATATATTTTTTTAAAAAAAGAAAGAAAAAGAAATGAAGTGAGTATATCTTGGCTATCAGGTTTGAGAGAAAAATTTAAAAGATGATTGTTTAATTCTTAGTTTCATTTTACAGTCCATGATTTTTTATATCATTTCTAAACCTGTAATGAATAATGATAATTATTGCAACTTTAAAAACATTAATTTTTTTAATCTTTATTGTTGAGGTTATTACAGATGTCCCTCTTTTTTTGCCCCATAGCTGCTCACCACCCGGTTCCCATCCCATCCCAGGCCCTTGCCACCCTATTATCTGTGTCCATAGGTACTGCATACATGCATGTAAGACAGAGGTTCTCAACCTGTGGGTCCGGACCCCTTTGGGGGTCAAATGACCCTTTCACAGGGGTCCTCTAAGACCATCGGAAAACACATATATAATTACATATTGTTCTTGTGATTAATCACTATGCTTTAATTATGTTCAATTTGTAACAATGAAATTGGGGGCCACCACAACATGAGGAACTGTATCATCACAATTACCATGAGTTAACAGTGACACTTTTTAAAAATATGTTTCTATTGATCTTTAGAGAGAGAGAGGAAGGGAGAGGGATAGAGAATTAGAAACATTGATGAGAGAGAGAGATACATCAATCAGCTGCCTCCTGCACAACCCCTACTGGGGATGTTGCCCGCAACCAAGGTACATGCCCTTGACCGGAATCGAACCTGGGACCCTTGAGTCCACAGGCCGATGCTCTATCCACTGAGCCAAACTGGTTAGGGTGGATTCTTTTTTCTTTTTGCTCATATGGTTGGGTATTTTTTGCTTCCTCATATTTCAAATCATTGCTTTGATTCTCGGGATCCTCTAATTGACTGTTGAATCCCTGTATGTTATTCTTTATTTCAGTCAGTGTATGCTTAATTTATGACTGGTCCTTTTCCATTATTTTTGGCATTCTCCCCAAGATCCTTGAAGGTCTCACTAAGTTCCTCGGAGGTGTCTAGATTCTTGAGTAACCTTATAACTGGTTTTAAACTCTATATCCAGTAGTTTGCTTTCTTCCATTTCTTTTATTTGTGACATGTTTCTTTATCTCCGCATTTTGGCTGCTTTCCTGTGTTTGTTTCTATGTATTGGGTAGCTGCTAAGTCTCTATGAGTTGGCAGAGTGGCCTTATGTAGTAGTTGTCCTATAGGGCCCAGTAGCTCTGCCTCCCCAATCACCTGAGGTGGACACTCTAGGTGCACCCCTTTGTGGGCTCTGTGCACAGTCTTGTAGTTGAGCCTTGATTTCTGTTAGTACCAATGGGAGAAATCGACCTCCAGGCCAACTGGCTGTGGGGACCAGCTGCGAATACAGAGGGAGAGCTGCTGTGTAGGAGGCACCCTTATGGGGCAGGACTTGCTTCAGTGGGGGTTGGTGCTCACTGAGTCTGCCCCTTGAGTGTGTCACTTATGGATGTAAAGAGTTGTAATCCATTATGGTCTCACACTGACCACTGGGTACACTGGCTCTTGGATCTCCAAGGAATTGCAAGGTCAGCCACTGCCTGGGGCCACCCAGCAGGAACTACAGAGAGGTCTGCAGATTCCTCCTCTTTGTATCAGGTTTGGAAGTGCCGAGACCCAGAGGAGGCCCAGCTATGAAGCAAGGCAGGCTGGTGCTGGTGCCAGCCTTGGGCCTTTTATTGATAGCTTTGGGGCTCCCTGACTCAGCTGCAGCCTTTTTGACAGTTTTTAGCCTGAGAAAGGACAAGCCATTCATATGCAAAAGCCACTGCAGACAGCTTTTGGGGGTGGGGGGGGGTTGCAGG